TCTTCAAGAATGAAGCAGAAGGCAGCTGATGGACAATGTAATATCCTTCTTTGAAAAACTGAACATCCTGTTGATTTTTCTTTAATCCATTCAAAAATAGGATGCTCCAAACTCTCAGATGATACAAATGACTCCTCAGGAAGAAGAGGAAAAGCATGCAACTGGAAAAAAAAATCCTAATTGATGTGGGTTTCTTGGTGGTGTTTTTTTTTTTTTTTTAAAGACTTGCAATAACGCATGCCTCCAAATTATTGGCCAAAACGTATTTGGTTTTAACAGCAGGAAGAGATTAGCCAGGCTTGCAATGTAGAACCTGCAGCTTATATTTATGCAAGCAATTATTTCTATATGCTTAGAATTTCATGAAGAGGAGATGCAGAGCCTTGCAGCCAGCCACCACATCAACATGCAGGCAGAGCATCCGTATGAGACACAAAACCTGTCTTGTCAGTTTATGAACAGCATACTCCTGTTCCCTGCAGCAAGGAATGTTTCATACACTAATCACAGCAAAACAAGATGATATGTACTCTCATACTACAGAACTGTTTTGAAAAGGATGTAGTATATCTGCAGCCAAAGTAATGTATACTCAACTCATAATCTGAGAATGCTGGCTTTAGGAAAATCACATCATCTCATCCTTGCACAGAAGGACAGCTGTTGGTAAAGCAATACTTTCTATATGGGTTCGATACATGCTTTTATTTTATTATAAATAAACGATTTGGGAGATTTTCCCAATGACCAACAATAACGAATATATGTATCTCCATCTGAAGAATTACTCTCTTCTGCATGCACAAATATTTGTTGAGTTTAGAACATAATATATTGTATGTATGCTCTCCCCCACACACATATGCCTACAGATTATTTTAAATATTTTATCAGAAACCCTAAACCTCTGATGAGTGCTATTATAGAATGAATACTGATAGAAAAGTTGTGCTTGCAAGAAAATAATGACATATTCCACTAATCATCTTTGTTGCCTTTTACATTATGGAAGAACTACATTCAATAAAGCCTCCTGGGGTGTTCATACATGCAGTGAGAGATGGCTTACAGTAAGTGATTTATGAAAAATCAATTTCTATAATAACCAAGGAGTTCAGAAAATTTCAGAGGGAAAGAGAGAGAAAGGGAGGATCAAGAGTTAGTGTTTCCATTTGATTTATTACAAGTCTTTAAAGACATCGGGGAGAAAAAGGAACACATAATCTACCAAATCATAAAACCATGAAAAACTCACAGGCTGAAATTAAGAAGTTATGAAAAGTTACCTAGCATCACTACCTGAATTTGATTTCAATTTAGGGTGAATAAAATTGGCTGGGTTCTACTGACTTATTACTATAACACACTTGCTGTAATAATCAGGTGTCTGCTTCCTCTTTTCAACCCACTCTACCCCTAAGGAGAAAACTGTTTCACCTCTTCATTCCCTCCTCTCGCTTCAGCATTTAATGGTATAAAAGCAATACCCCCATGAGTTTGCAATCTTTGTAGCATGAAGCAGAATTCAGTTGTTTTCAAATGGGATTTGCAGTAGGCTAATATAATATAACCTCCTCTCAGAGCTGACTCTGCTTTTTTCTTCCCCTTCTCCTGTCTCTCCCCCCCCCACCTCCCCAATTACTGGCATTTCTAGTGTTAATAGGCAGTGCACTATCTGGCTGTGATTATAGCAACAATCCTCTAGTTTCCTTTCCAGTTACATTACATGGCAGATGATGAGAATCATGATGATGGATGGATAGATGGATAGATGGATAGATGGATAGATGGATGGATGGATGGATAGATAGATAGATAGATAGATAGATAGATAGATAGATAGATAGATAGATAGATAGATAGATAGATAGATAAATAGATAGATCAACAAGAAGACAGACAGACAAATGAGTCCTGCTTATCCTTGCTGCTCATGTGGAAAAGGAAAGAAATGCAGGCTTTCTCCTACCTCTTTCTTCTACCCCTCCCCTTCTTTCAGTTTCATGGGTGTGGCATAGTTCAAACCTCTCTTTCTCGTAAGCATTAATGTGTTGAAACCAGGAATATATTAAGTAAAATAAGAATAATTTCAACTACAAGTGAGAAACACTGATATTCCATTTTAATCCCTCATTCTGTTCATTATTGAGCATCCACCTACTTATCTCCTGTATACATACACACGTACAGGAGATACTGTTTCATGGAGAAGCATGTCTAGTCAATTCCTCTCTCCAGACCCAGAATGTAATATCAGCTTCAGGAATGCATGATTACAATTGTCCAACTCCACATTCCTACTTGCCATCTTCAGTACCTATCAACATTGTAAGAATGTGTTTTGAAAGCCATTAAGGGATATGTTAAAAATCAGGCAAGTGCCATTGTAAGGTCAGCAGGTTTCATCATTTCACTACAACCTACAGACATTGGTTGGGGCAGATGAAATTATGATAAACCCAATATTATTACAGAATTAATTTTATTTATATCTTAAATGTATCTTTATAAGATTCAGTGTATCTGACAAACACATGGGTATGGACCAATGTAGACAGGCACCCTATATAATTAACATACAATTTCTGTTACTTGCATTTTGCACACAAATCCAGGGGGGGGATTCCCTAGGTAGCAAGGAGACCTCCCTATGATTTAGAAACACCCACTTCCTATCATAGTAATTTGATGGCATCACTGTTATTTAGCTTTCCTTTTCTGAATGGCTGTAGAGAAAAGGAAGACAAGGGTCAAATAGGGGTAAGGGTCTGCTCTTTTTCAGATCGGAATTTTATGCAATGATTTAAAACTTTTTGTGCAGTTTTTTTTTTTTATAAGTGTAATTGGCTTATGCATATGCAAAATGCAGTATGGCTCAAAGGGTAAGAGTGGGGATACATGTGTATGTGGGTGTGTCAAAGTTGAAGTTGCACTTCTACATGCAGTTATAAATATGTGAACCAGAATATATATGACTGGGTGTGTCTCTTTGTGTCTGCCAAAAATACATTGATTTATATATTGATAAGTATGTTTAAAACTATACAATTTCTGACTTCTTGCATTTATGAAAACGTGTCACGTAAAGGATGCACGAGGTTTGCCTTTTGATTGTGCTTGTGCTTGTATTTTTGTGATTTAGCAGCTTCTTTGCCACAGCTTTATATATCCATTAAAAAATCATGAAAAAATAGGATTTCTAAGGCAAGAGATGGATTTTTCCCATATCTTTTGTAGCTCAGTTTTGAGAAGATGATTAGACACAGCTTTACAGCCTAACATTTCCAAACCTCGAAAAGGATTCTACCTTATTCAAACAGTTACTAAGCTTCACCATTCACTGCATTTAATTTGTCTTTCTATCTGCCTCCTACCTCCTCCTCCCTTTTTTTTCACCCCATGATCTTCTGGCTAATACATGTCTCATTTCCATATTATTTCAGGTTTTACTAAGTGCAATACCAACAGAAGTCCCAAACATGTATGGAAAATAATAACACCATTGCAAGGGGAAGTCCTCTCACCAGCCCCACCCTAGTGGTTTACCAGACTACCTTTCCAACAATATACTGCTTCAAAAATATATTTTACATGTTTGAATCAAATATATCTACAATAATTATTTCAACCAAGGTTTTTATAGGATATCATTTTTCTTTATTGTTAGAATACAGCATTAGGCAGTATCAGTTTCTGAATGAGTACATTTTCTTTCACTGGAAAAAGTGCATTTCTCTTTAAGAAGCATATACTAAAACCTTTTTACAGGTACAGATATGAAAAGGCCAAAAATCCTTTATGATTTCAATAAATCCACGTGGAATGGCATACATCCATACTATTCCTCCTAAAGCAGGATTTTGAGTACATTGATAATTCTAAGGAGAAAGAGTTTGACATAATAAGTATTCTGACAGAAGAACAGAAGGACTGAGGGTATCTATGCCCATTTTTTATTCTGGCTCATCCTTGTTTAATGGCTAGGTGCAAGATGCCTTCCCAGTTTCTTCACAATCCATCTCTCCTGCCATTAAAATAAATTACACGGGAACAATATCATAGAAATTAGGTTTCCACCAAGTTAATTCCATTCCATCTTTCCTATCCCATCAGAGCTAAGACCTAACAGAGGCGTGGTCCTCTATCTCTTTACCAGATTGTGCACAGTTGTTCAAGTGCTTCTGGTATGAAAATTTGTGAAGAGGGAATTCGTCTTCTTAGCCATTTCTCCATCCTACATCAAATTTCTCCTAGCAGTTTATTTTCAGCTTAGAAAAATGCCATCATATTTAGGAGAAAAAGAAAATATAAAAGATAACAAATGGCAACTCTCTTCTCATTTACATTATCGTACAATGGAAGATGGGGAAACACCCATGATTCAAAAGCTCTATACAGCATGCCTTTTAGTATCTACCAGAGCTAACACTAACATATAAAATCTTTCTTATACATCTTGGGAAAGATTTTTATCATATCTTCAGAAGAATGGACCAAATTGGAATTACTACCCTCCTTCCTTCAGTTCAAGCCAAAATCAACTCTCTCCTCCTTGCAATCCACATCTTCCAAATCCAAGACAGACCATTCTAAGAAATCCCATCTTCTTCCCCCACTTCCCCCTCTCTCAGGTGCTGGTTTCAGGGAGAGGGGGGGGTTCCCCCTTCTTTCTCCCCAATTCTGATCATTAACACAGCCTCCCCACCATCCACCTTCTGACACCACAGGTAAAACATACACGCGTACACACACACACCCCATTGCATTCATGGAAGGGGTGTGTGATCGGAGCCTTCGGTGCAAAGATGCTTAAAGAATTGCAAAAGGAAAGAGCCTCTTAGAAGCAGTTGCCTCTCCCTCCAAATGTCTGTGTGTCTGTCTGGTTGTGTATACACAGAGAGACAGACATTCAACACATACAGAAACATTTTAGTCAACAGCCTAGGAATTCCCCAACAGATATATATATATATATATATTTAAAAAGTCTCCAGCTCTACCTGTTTTGTTCTTCTCATACAGCACAGCATGATTGTATTGTCCCCTTCTTCCTTGTGGTTCCTTCCTCCTCTCCTTTTTCCTCCTCTCTCTTTCACTCTCTCTTATCTCTCCCCCCCCCTCTCCCCTCCCTCCCCTCTCTCTCTCTCTTTCTCTCTCCCCCTCCTTCCTTCTTACACACACACACACATACACATTCACGGACGCACACTCAAACACAGACACACACACACACACACTCAAACACACAAACAGACACCGGGGTAGTTAGCAGTATCTGTAAGGTTCGCCGCTATTGCTCATCACACATGCTGTTGCCCGCGCCTGCTCCCTCCCTCACTCGCTTGCTCTCTTTCCCTTTCCCAGAATTGTTCGCTGGCAGCTCTCAGTGACTAGCCCTTCTCCCCACCCCCATCTCCCACCCCCACTATCAAGGCAACCACCCCTTTCAGTCCTTTGCCAGCCTCATGAATGTTTAAACATATCCAATCTGGACCCAATTACCCAGCGACTTTCCCACTGTTCAGAGCTTGCTAGGAAAAAGGGGAGAGGGAGGGAAGTCCATTGCAGATTGTTCAGAGGGGTGTGGCAAGGTATGGTGGTCGGAAGGCAGCTGCATTTCTTTGTGCTTCTTTAAAGAAAACAATAAATTACTATTAACCCATCACACGTGTAGAAGAAGAACAAACAAGGGCTCTAGACACCAGCAGAGATTTTGTGTGTGTGGGTGGGTGGGTTTATAAATGTCCCTCTCAAAGAAGTATTTGCATTACATGTTATAAGCACATGTATTTTGGCTTTGCATGGGCAGAATATAGTTGAAAAAACCAGAAATGTCCCAATAGCCCTCAAGCATATGTGCTCCTCATTTGCTACTTCTTTAGCTACATTTTCTAAGCTCATCCATTATGCAGCATTAGGGGGAAAAAAATCCATGTGATGTCATTCTTTAAGTATATAAATCTATAGGCACAGACTAGGAAGTCCATTCAATGAGATTTTTTAAAAATTCAACTTGCATGCAAACTATGAAGTTGTACATAATCCTTCAGACCCTGAGAACAATCCCCACTTAACAGAGTGACAGGTGCATGGTATCAGATGCATGAAATCAGACAAATATGGAGCAGGCTTTAGTTTATCCAGTCCAGCCACATAGTCTATTAAAGAAATCAAGAACTACAGTATTCTAAGCAGACATGCTTAACGTCTCTCAATTCTATATCAAGTTCTCCAGTTCCAATTCTTCTGTCCAAGGAAGTAGTCCCATTTGCTTTTACCATTATGTTATATAATCTCTGAATGTTCTACTAAAATCTACCTTAAAGAGAACAAGTCTCTACAGGTAGTCCTTGACTTGAGACAACAATTGAGCCCAACATTTCTGTTGTTAAGTGAGTTTTGCCCCATTTTACAACCTTATGTTGTTAAGTGAGTTTTGCCCCATTTTACAACCTTTCTTGCCACAGTTATTAAGTGAATCACTGCAGTTGATAAATTAGTAACATGGTTGTTAAGCAAATCTGGCTTCCCTATTGATTTAGCTTATCAAAATGTTGCAAAAAGTGTAACCTTTTATGGTCACTAAATGAATTCTTGCAAGTTGAGGACTACCTGTATTTTCTAGTCTTTTGTTTGCTTTGGGGTTATAAAGAAGTATGGATTAGCCCATGTCTCATCTCATTTTCTATAGAGAAATTATTGAGTCTGTTATCTGTATCTCTATAACTGTCTGGTTTGGTTCTGCAACCCAACAAGACACAGACTTCAAAGGATAATTAGAACTCCAGAAAAAAACAGTTACTACCAATCTGCCTTCCATTGAGGACCTGTATACTGCACAAGTCAAAAATATTTACAGACCCCTCGCATCCTGGACATAAACTGTTTCAACTCCTACCCTCAAAACAACGCTATAGAGCACTGCACACCAGAACAACTAGACACAAGAACAGTTTTTTCCAAACACTATCACTCTGCTAAACAAATAATTCCCACAACACTGTCAAATTATTTACTAAGTCTGCACTATTTTTAATCTTGTCATCATTCCTATCACCCATCTCCTCCCACTTATGACTATATGACTGTAACCTTGTTGTTGGTATTCTTACGATTGATATTGACTGTTTTCTAATGCTTATTTGTACCCTGTGACTATCATTAACTGTTGTACCTTATGATTCTTGATGAACGTATCTTTTCTTTTATGTACACTGAGAGCATATGCACCTAGACAAATTCTTTGTGTGTCCAATCTCACTTGGCCAATAAAGAATTCTATTCTATTGTATTCTATCACTAAAAAATGTATTCAGTCATTAGCCATCCATCATATATTTGCTTCCTGCTATAAATTAAAAATAATGGGAAAAAAATCATTTTTGTATTTATTTTTTCCTAATGTAAAAGTGTAAAACTTCCTATTATGAAAAACTTCCGATTATAAAATCAATATCATTAATTTTTCCTTAATGTATACACTTTGTAATACAATTTTTTAAAAGTTAATTCAAAATGGTCTTTGTAAATTACAAGTAGTCCTCGAGTTACAACAGTTCATTTAGTGACCATTTGAAGTTACAACGGTACTGAAAAAGTGACCTTTGACTGTTTTTCACACTTACAACCTTTGTAGCATCCCCATGATCATGTGATAAAAATTCAGATGCTTGCAGCTGGTTCATACTTATGACCGTTGCTGTGTCCCAAAGTTACTTGATCACCTTTTACAATCTTCTGACAAGCAAAGTCAATGAGATTCACTTAACAACCATGTTACTAACTTAAGAACTGCAGTGATTAACAACTGCGGCAAGAAAGGTTGTAAAATGGGGCAAAACTCACTTAACAAATGTCTTTGTTAAGTGAGTTTTGTCAATTAACAACAGAAATTTGGAACTCAATTGTGGTCATAAGTTGAGGACTACCTGTAAAGTATATGCCTATTATATGCCCAATAATGAAAAATGTTTTGATCATTTTATTTTGCTTGAAAAAAAAACCTGAGGTTGTTCTAGCATTGCTACATGGCAGCCCTTCAGTTTTTTAGAGAGTACTATTTTTTAGAGAGTACACGGTGGCTCAGTGGCTAAGATACCGAGCTTGTCGATCGAAAGGTTGGCAGTTCAGCAGTTCGAATTGCTAGTGCCGCGTAACAGGGTGAGCTCCCATTACTTGTCCCAACTTCTGCCAACCTAGCAGTTTGAAAGCACGTAAAAAATGCAAGTAGAAAAATAGGGACCACCTTTGGTGAGAAGGTAACAGTGTTCTGTATGTCTTTGGCATTTAGTCATGCCAGCCACATGACCACGGAGATGTCTTCAGACAGCGCTGGCTCTTTGGCTTTGAAACGGAGATGAGCACCGCCCCCTAGAGTTGGGAACACTAGCACATATGTGCGAGGGGAACCTTTACCTTTTTATCATATCCACCAGAGTTTTCTATTATCAACTTGTCATTGTATATGTGATTTTTTACAGCCAAAATTTCATTACTGTATTTTAACCCTTGAAAATAAAGCTAATGAAGTGATAATTATTGGCCTTTTAGAATCAACTATCAACATAAAGGAACCAACAGTCAAAAAATATACTTTAGATAACACTCGTAAGGTAGCAATGAAGATGTTGGGAAAGATATTTAGATATCTACAAGGCAGAATTGTGCAGAGAATAGTTTTCCCTGTGACTATGGAAGCCAAATTTAGAATAGAATAGAATAGATTTTTTTATTGGCCAAGTGTGATTGGACACACAAGGAATTTGTCTTTGGTGCATACGCTCTCAGTGTACATAAAACAAAAGATACATTCATCAAGAATCATAAGGTACAACACTTAATGATAGTCAAAGGGTACAAATAAGCAATCAAATCATATTAGGAAATAGTTTGAATCTTGAAAGGCAGGATAGAAAGATTATTGATGCTTTTGGACTTTACCACAATTCAAGATGGTAGCTGCAACTTTGTGATCAAAGTTTTTTCCAATTTACACATGACACACTTAAATAACAGGTGGAGCTTTGATCATTCTTATGGATACCATTTTAATTTTTTTTATAATACTCTACAGACACCCCTAAAATATGGTGTTGGAGAAGACCCCTGGGAGTATCCTGGGTAGCTAAGAAAAATAATAAATGGATCATGGAATAAATAATTCTAAGTTCTCACTCAAGGTACAAATGACCAACGTCAATTTATCATATTTCAGATACATTATGTAAAGACCCAGCTCTCTCTGTAATGCTGGGAAAGGTAGAAAGAAAGAAAAAAATGACCAGCAGTGAGGCAGGTAGACCCAAATATAGATAAGCAATGGTTTAGCCCAGTGCTGAAATCCAAATTTTTTTACTACCAGTTCTGTGGGCGTGGCTTGGTGGGCGAGCTGTGGCTTGGTGGGCGTGGCAGGGCAAGGATACTGCAAAATCTCCATTTCCACCCCACTCCAGAAGAAGGATACTCCAAAATCCCTATTCCCTCCTCACTCCAGGGGAAGGATATTGCAAAATCTCCATTCCCACCCCATTCTGGGGCCAGGCAGAGGTGGTATATGTCAGTTCTCAAACTACTCAAAATTTCTGCTACCAGTTCTCCAGAACCTGTCAGAACCTGCTGTATTTCACCCCTGGTTTAGCCATTGAAAGACCTGAAGAACACATGAGAACAAATCAAGTTTATCTATGTGGTTATCAAGAATTTTCTCTGATATGATGATATATGATCAATTAGCCCATTCAATGATATGTCTAAAACTGTAAGTGATATTATAGATTATTTTTTTGCACCTGCATCTCAGTTCAACCTGTGATTGTATAAGATCCTGAAATTCTTTTCATATCTTCTATGGTCAAGCCAGGCAATCCCATCTCTATCTTGTAACTGCAAGCAGTATAACTTTATAACTTATTTTTCAAAATGTTATTTACTAGCTATCAAAATTATTGTTTAAAAATCAAATGTATTTGTTGAGATTTTGATAAAAGGATTTGCTACCAAAATAAATGCTTTGCATGCCTGTGTTTTCTCTTACTTTTACAAACATAATTAAAATATTCAGTTTCATGGGTTTTCTGAGAAACTGATGCACGATGACTAATTCTAGAAATGTGAAAATTTATGTAAGCCAGGAAATCTGTGGATCAGAGCCATTTTGAAATTACTGAAATGAAAGTTTAAATAAAATCAATTGCTCCCCTCTCCCCCATGCAGTACATCAGCCAATACAAAGATCATTCAGATGAAAGCAGACAAATGAATTCTAGAGCTGTGTTTCTACTCCCATTATCCTGGCTGGGGATAAGACTTAAAGTTTCACAATGTAGGATTCCTCTGGAAGAACACTCTGTAAAATAATTAACAATCTT